CTTGGGTACTTTAAAGGTACACATACACTCCTTTAGTACTACTTTAACTCTAGCTTCAGAAAAAAAACAGCAAATTAATTTTTTTAATGCTCGTTCACTCTTCAGTTTCAGAAAGTGAAATGGGGATATTTTGAGATAGAAACAGATATTTAAAGAGATAAAAGTCGAAACAGGGATATTTAGAGATATCGAGAGCAGCTGAGCGTATTCAGGAATTTGTCCAGGGATGGGCTTAAATTTTGTTATCTTTCCAGGAGGGGGAGGGGCTTGGCCCCCCCCCCCTGATCGAGAGAAAAACGGGGATATTTAAAGAGATAAAAGTAAACCATGGGGAGATAATGACAGAAAGTACTGTGTACAATTCGTACAATGATGTTGTAATGATCAGCAAAAGACAAAATCAGCTGTTCCCCCCCCCCACCCCTCATAATCGGCGGTAAAGATAATACATTACCCATATTTTATGTTCATTTGAACAATTTTTTGGTTCATTTGAACTATCTTTCTGTTCGTTTGATCTATTTTGATGTTTTTCGATTGTTTCATTTGTTTGTTCATTTGCACTATTATTAAGGGTCATTTGTTCTATAGGTAATGGTAATGAACAGTAGTCTAAATGACCAAAAAAATAGTTCAATAGAGATGTAACTAAAGAAGAAAGGATGGAACTAAAGAATAAGGGAGAGGTATGGAACAGGAGCAACTGTAGAGGGGAAGGATGTAACTGCAGTAGTAGATTAAGTAGAGGGATGCAACAATAGAGGGAAGAAGGATGGATCTACTATAGAGGAAAGGAACTGTAGTGGGAGAGATATACTTTACAGAGGAGAGGGGTGTAACTAAAATAGCTAGTTGAGAGGGATTGAACTATGAAGGGGGAGAAACGTAACTATAAAGGAGAGAGGATGGAACTTAAATATAAGAGAGGGATGGAATTATACAGAGAAGGATGTCATGTAACTGTAGTAAATTAAGTAGAAAGGGATGGAACTATGAAGGATAGAGATTGAACAATAGAGGGGTGAAGGATGGATCTACACATACATAGGGGAGAGGACTGAAACTGTAGTGGGAGAGAATTGTAACTTTACAGGGGAGAGGAATGCAACTGTAGTAGAATAATTTGAGAGGGATGGAACTGTGAAGAGAACAGATAAGTAAAAAGGAGAGAGGATGGAATTAAAGAATTTAAGTAAGAGAAATGGAACTATAATGAAAAGAGGGAAGAAATAGGAACTATGAAGGGGGGGAGGGACGGAACTACAGAGGGGAGGGCGAAATAACAATAAAGAGAGATATGGAAATATAGAGAAAAGAGGGATGAAATTGGAACTATGAAGGGGGGGGGGGGGGACGGAACTACAGAGGGGAGAGGGTTGGAAAAAACAAATAATACGAATGAGCAGTTTAGACCTGATACACAAAGTAACAAAACAAATTTAAGACGGATGGACAAATAACAACTATGAAAATAGCGCTTTATTTCGACTAGATATATATATATATATAAATAAAAGTCAATTTTAAAACGGATTTAACAGAAAAGACGATAAACAATTACTCCCGTAAACATAATTTAATTATATTACATGTATGTACATATAAATAAGGACAAAAACTTAATTGTAAGCTTAAAATAAACGTAAAAATTTGTGCATTTTAGTGAACGATTTTGTTTGAACAGATTGACGACCATTGGATCTAGTTTTAATGCTTGTGAGAATGTTTATTTTTAAGCTGACAGTAATGGAATGCCCTTTAAAAGCATCACAAAGGATAACTTATCCCTTATCAGAAAGCAACAAATCCGCGAATTGAGTAGGATTATAAAAGATGATTTGTAATTACCATGTCTTTTTCAAGATTTTATTTGCGTGGAAGCGCGATTATGAGAATGTTCAGTGAGAACCAAAGCTTCGTTCTTTTTTACTTTAATAGTGTCGCCAATATTTCTATAACAATCAATTGTTGCAACTGACAACCCTCTAGTTGTAAATATTAAAATCCCGGAGACAATTCAAGATTACAACTATGAGAATTCCATTGTTTTCTGGTTCTCACTGTAGAGGATATTTAAAACATTTTTTTTAACTAACTGTGTGGATTCAAGGCAGGTTGGTGAAATTATTTACATTTGTAACAGAAATCAGATAAATTTTTTTTTAACCCCGGCTTAAAGTATTTGGAATTTAATGAATTGTTAAACCAAAAATAAATAAAACATGAATTATCTTTAAACATAAATAAAATATGCATACTGTATAGGAAACACGAGCTTCAAGGTGAGAAGCTCTTTAAAATTCATTAACTTTTCTCACTGCTCACTGCTCCTTTATTCTTCTTGATCATTGATATCTGTAAATTTTTAGTTACTGTTTTTAAATTTGTTTTTATTTACATATTATGTATGAGATGAGATGATAGGAACCTTGAGGGGACTCTTGATGAAGTTTAAAGTGGCCTTTCATTCAGATAGAAGTATGCTAGATTCACAACAGTTCACTTTACACCGTTATCTAACTAATCTTTCATTTAAATAGAAGTGTTAGATTCACAACGGTGTACTTTACACCTTTATGTAACTAATCTTGCATTTAAGTAGATGTGTGATAGATTCACAACGGTGTACTTTACACCTTTATCTAACTAATCTTTCATTTAAATAGAAGTGTTAGATTCACAACGGTGTACTTTACACCTTTATCTAACTAAACTTGCATTTAAATATAAGTGTGCTAGATTCACAACGGTGTACTTTACACCTTTATCTAACTAATCTTTCATTTAAATATAAGTGTGCTAGATTCACAACGGTGTACTTTACACTTTTAACTAATATTTTTTTTTATAAATAAAGCTCTTCGCTCATATATTTGTATGTAATATGTATGTAATATGCAGTATGGGCTGATTTTTTTGAGGAAACTCATGGATACCATGGGGTAACAAAGGCTACAAAAAAATCGACATTTTTTATCAACGTTTAATTTTTTTTTTCAAAATTAAAAAAAATTTCCGCAGGCAACACAGGGCACTTCTACTAGTAAAACATAATACTTATAGAAGATAAAAACGTTTTTTTCTAGCTTAAAATTTAGCCACTGTTTCTTAAGTCACTTAAAAATAGAAACCACGATTGAAAATAATCAACTTTCAAAGAGGAAATAATAGATTTCTCATACGTTTTCAATCAGGCAAAGCTTATCAGGGTACCGTTGTGAATCAGGCATGCCACTCCACAAATGAAGAGTCAATTGAAATTACGTTTACTAGTCCTTTTAAGTGTTAAGAGCTCTATAAAATTCCGCAAATAATAATTAGATTAATAAATATGTCCAAGTTAGAAGCATTCATCGTTGTTCAGAAAAGCATGTCCTTCACTCAACCTTTAGAAAAAGAGGAAAAAACTCGTTTTTTTATGAATGACTTCACTTTTAGGAACGAACTCCGCATTCTTATTTTCTTTAATATTTTCTTAAACCGTATAGGCTGAGGTAGGAATCCCCGGACCCTGCCGCCAGCCGAAGAAGATGAGGATGAAACCGCAAACAGTTTACCGAACCTGAAAACAACTTGTCTATAACATCGGTTTCGATAAAGTTTATAGACGGTTAAAAGCCGAAGAAGACTCCATAGAATTTCTTATAGTTTCAACAACCAACATAGTGTTGTTCATCGTTTCGGGTAGTTTTTAAAATCTTTTTATAAAATTTTCAAGATTTCAAAGCTGTATTCTGTTTAAGTTTGCTTTTATAAAAACTTTGCCATATTTTTGTTCTAAAAAAATTAAACTATCCACGTTTTTGTTCAGTTTTTTTGTATTTTTTTTCTGTCCGGGTCAAAATTTGGCGTAGTATTAAGAACAAGCATTTATGAAAAAAACTGCTCTTCTTACACAAAATTTTGCCAGCAAAAGAAAATATAGTTCAAAAACGAACCAAAAACGAAATCCACATCACTGCGGCAGGTTGGAAGGAACAGTAAACAAAAAAAGAAAAGAAATAATGAAAGAGGAGTACCTGATAACAAGAATAATTATAATAAAATATTTTTGTATGATCTGTACCCAACATTAAAAGAATTCATTAAACAAATTGTTCAAGAGAATGGATTCGATAATAAAATTGTTATCATTACATCTTAGAACAACGGTTGATTGTATTTAATCAATTCATTTAAGAGAGGTTTAATTTTGGTTAGTTTTCATTCCTTATATGGTTTTGAAATTGGAGAAAAGCAAGCCGATCCACATAGTCATTATTTTCTTTTAGAGGTTGGTTGTATGAGAAAAAGATGAGAATGTGGCTTAGATACGACAAAGATGTGATTAACCTAATATTTTTCTATTCACAAAATGCAAAATCATGTTTTTAACTTATGACCGACCAAAAATTTCAAAATTGTTAATAATATCTTTTTTGAGTTTTAAAAATATATAAATATTATCCGAGCTGAAAACTTTTGAATAGTATATCCTTAATCCTGATCGGATAATTAATCTGGAGATTAAAAATGAGAGGAGAACAAGAAATATTTAATCTCGAGATTAAGAAAAAGAGTGGATTAAGCATTAATCCCGATATCCACCATTCTAAAGTTTTCAGCTCTGACCGAATCGTTGTCCCAGTATTCCGTCCTGATATCTAATCTGGTTCAGTAGCTTCCCATTGTTCAGGTTATGCACGGACAGCTGGCTTGACATCGTCCACACTAAGTTATAAAAATCATAATATTTATAATACTCATAACATTACCAGAGATATAAAGAATTTTTGTTGATTTCATTTAATATTTTCATATTTTTAATGAAATAATTCACGTCTTCTGTAATTTAGAACGCACATTGCACAAAAAAGGCAGACCACATTTTGGAAATGGCTGGACCAGGGCTATTTTGTGATTATCGTTTAATTTATTAATCATATTTGTGAAATTAGATTGACAAATGCCATAAACTATTTCAAAGATCCAAGACGATTGGTTCTTGATTGTGATTGTGAGAGCTCTAAACTAAATATTATTTACCTGCGAATAGAGGAGCGTTCTCATGAATATCCAGGATTATAATATTCTGTCCGGTATTAATAGTCAGAATACTAGACTGTCTTCTCATATCCCAAACCTAATACAATAATTTACATTCATATTCATAAATGAATAAACATTCAGTCAACCATCATTCTGAAACATCGGGGCCGAGCCATTCTATCCAAGACACTCGCCGGATGTCGGACATTTATGCAGTGCTTATGATCCGGATCCGCAATATGTTGGCTCCCTGTATCCGGATCCGGATCCAAGAGGCAAAATAACAACAAACGCCTGCTAAAAAATGTTTTGCTCTGAAAAAAAGACACAAATCTCAATTGTAATTAATGAGAAATGTATAAAAACTTCCTAGTATCATAATAGTTCATTTTTAAAACTTGTTAAAAAAATCAGTAATCTTGAAGAAATGTTTACTGTTCAGAACCGAGATCCGGATCAATATATTTTTTTAAGGCAGATCCAGGATCAGGATCAGGATCTGTATTTAATGAAATGGATTCTAAGCACTTCATTTATTAATTAGTTAGGTAATGACACAAATAATATATCCTACCTTTATAATACCGTCTGTACACCCTGATATAAGCCTAGAGTTCTGCAGTATAGTATATATATCCTACCTTTATAATACCGTCTGTACACCCTGATATAAGCCTAGAGTTCTGCAGTATAGTATATATATCCTACCTTTATAATACCGTCTGTACACCCTGATATAAGCCTAGAATTCTGCTGTACAGTAGATATATATATATATCCTACCTTCATAAAACCGTATGTACACCCTGATATGAGTCTTGAGTTCTGCTGTATCATATGTATATATATATATCTTACCTCTGTAATACCGGCTGTACACCCTGATACAAGTCTAAAGTTCTGCTGTACAGTATATATATATATATATATTATATATATCATACCTTTATAATACCGTCTGTACACCCTGATATAAGCCTCGAGTTCTCCTGACTCCGACAGTTGAGGACGAACTTCCCGTGCTCGCGATACATCATTACCCTGCAAAAAAAAACTAAGTTAACCAGAGATGTAAAAAGTTCCCTAAAAGCAATAACAATTACAATTTAGTTAAAAGTGTTATTTATCCAAAACATAACTTTTATCTTTATCTATCATTTTAAATATCTTTCCCCACCAACCATTTATTAATTAAAGGGAATAGCTGGGGGTGTTCTGGCCCGCAGTCGACTTCACTCATCAGTACTTCCCCTCGCCGACTAAGCCCCACCCTAAGAATTGTATGGTATACCTAGAAGAAGCTGGATGTAGCCTAGGATCATAAAGTTTAATAGAACCATCGTAATATGTTGCAGCCAGTAATCTTGCACTCTCATTCATACTCAGACTAGTTACAAAACTATCTGCAGACGAGGGTAAATCTACAAGTTTCATCTCAGAATCACAATCCCATAATCTTATATATTTAGTATCTCCAGCAGCAGCTAGAACACGGGAACATGAGTCCCAGGTTAAACAGAGTCCTACACTTATCCTATCTCCTGCAGCGGATTGAGGAACTAGCTCCGGTAGCAGGTTCCAGGCAGATACAAGCTGCTGGTCCTTCTGCCAGTCCCTGTATACTCTCACAGCACCATCGTCCGACCCCGTAACTAGCAATCCGTCCACATGTCCATTCATGAACTCCATCGCGGTTATTTGAGAAATTTTCGGGTTTTTATTTGAAAACGTATTACTCCTGGTCTGTGTCTGGGAAAACTCGTATACGGAGACAGAATCACGTCCAGCCACCACAACCTCGTTATCATATGGGTGCATGAGTACGACGGACGGGGGCTGAAAGATCTTTATTCCACCAATTTGTTCGTCCAGTTTTCCGGTACCCTGGAGCAAACTCCGCTGCTCCTGGTCTACTCGCTGACAGATTAAATCGTTCCTAGTTTGCATCCAATCCTTGCAGTAGTATGTGTCGGACTGTTTATCATCGTTACTGTTCAATCTCATGAGCTGGTTTGAGAAGTATTTAGCCGACCATTCAATAAACTGTGTAGACAGCGTAGCATTCTCTCCGTCCTCTGACGTAATTCCTTCCTCGTGTATTGCCGAGAACAAGGATCTTTGAAACCAGGATTGACCAGGACGGGAGTTGTTCTCCGAGGTTTGGAGTAGATTAGGTAGGGTAGTATTTAGGCTGGTGGGAGGAGATTCTCCTAAAAGAAATGTTGGTCTACCAGGACTACTGGGAGCTGACCTACTATGAATATCTAAATGAGAACCTTGAGATCTGAACATATCCGCTGATCTTTCTTTCTGATTCATCTTCTTCCAGACTATATCTAAGAGATTCCGGGAGAGAGATGAAACTAAAGGATCCGGATCCTTCTCCAATAGCAACAATCCACCCCACAACTTGAGAAAGAAAGGTTTAAATTTACTTGTAACACCAGAGAACATGGAGAGGGTAGCTAAGGAGCTGTAGCTTGACTGAGCCTGTGTGGACATTATTCTTTTAAGTTTTCTAGTAGTTCCTTGAACAGAAACATCAGAATATCCAGTAACATTCAGCTCATTGTAACTAGAGCTAGGAGCTAAACTAGAAACACTTCCTTTCGGTTTCCGGGTCATATCAGTCTTGGTTGATTTATTGAGAACGTTCCGAGGAGAGGTTGGAGCACCAACTAGCGTTGGAGTTGAAAACCTAACCCTGTCCTCATCCTCATCATGTAGGGTCTTGCAGAGGTTAACGAGGTTGGGTAGGAAGGAGTACACCAGCCACTGCAGGGCGACAACAAGTTCACGTCGAACAAGAGGAGATCCATCATCCAGACAGGTCTGTAGTAATCTCAAACCAATCGTCTAAACAATTATCTAATTTTTAGAAAAGTTTTGCTTTGAAAAAGTTTTATCTAAAAAAATTTGCACAAATCATAAATGTTAAAAGTAAACATTATACTTATAAAATAAAAATTATTGAATTGGTTTTGATTTAATGTAGTCTAACTCCTAGCTTCTGATGCGTACACCGCAACTTTAAAGCTTAGTCTCAACTTTAAATTCAAACAAAAGTTTTGACGAAGTGATTAAAAAAAAATATCCATTCTCCAACTCAACTTAAAGAAAAACTTTTCATAATATATCTTAAGACTCGAGTCTTTCTACAGTCTCAATGCCAGCTTAGCCTTGAGACTAATTTTTACCGAAATATTCAAATATCAGACTTTTGGAGTTCATTTGTATTTTATATTTGTTTTGCAGTGTAAAACTATGAAAAAATGTCCCAATTTGTTAAAAAAAACATATTTGTTTTGCAGTAATTACCTGATCTAAGGAGTTAGCATGATCCGTCCTACTTCCACAGGAGTTCAGAAACGTTCCTAGAGCATACACAGCCGCTGCTCGAACCTCAGGAACTGGATCAGAGAGAAGGTTGAACAGACGTTCAGGAGCATTATCTCGAGCTCCTCGCCACCGGGCATCCTCGTGTCCATCCCAGATCCGTCCTAAGCAGATAGCTAACCACTGACGGAGTACAGGATCACTTTCCTCCAGCTCGTTTAAGCATAATGTTATCAGATTCCCAGCAAGCGCCTGAAAATAAAATTGATAATGGTTTATGTACAAAGTTTTCCCCTAATTCTGTACTTTTCGAACTTTAAAAAATACAATAAAAATAAGTTGCTGGAAAGTCCGAATGGGAAATTAACCAAAAATTACAGGGGGGGGGGGGGCTACCTTTTTTTTGATGCTCTAGAAGAAAGGAAAAGTTGTAAGAAAATATAAACCCCTGAATGTTTGAAGAGTTTAGATTACCTCATCCTGTCCCGGTTTGTATCCTTGCACTATACTGGAGAGAACGAAAACACTCCAAGTCTTATGCTCCGTGAGCATTGCTGGATCCTGGAGAACAGCCAGGAAATATCTATGGGATTGATCTCGTACCAAATCCTTACAACAAAGTGCAAATTAGGAAATGAGAACGGGTATAATAGGGACTGTAAGCATTATTTTAAGGATAGCAATGCCAATCTAATCAAAATGTAGAGATGACGACATTGATTTGACTAAAAAGTGTTTACTTCTGTGAATTTCTCCATTATTTCTTACAAGCATAAAATGAGTAAGTTTGCAGAAAAACCAAAAAAGGAAATAAAAAGTTAAAAATTTTAATAAACAAAAACTCACACATCTAATTTATAATTGAGGGTTTCGTTGTAAATCGGGCATTGTCATCTTTGCATGGAAGGTCAGTTGAAAGTACGCTTTGAATCGATTTAATTTTGATTCAAATCCGGGTTCTGGATTATTTCTGTGAAAAAATGGATCTGGGCCATGAACAGACTTTTTATTTCAAATTAATTTTTAAAATCAAGAGTTTTCCTCCGAAGATAATTGCTAAAGATATCTACAGATATATTGGTACACCAATAAAAGTGAAAGTAATAAAATTTAATTTTCCTCTAACAATTTACATTATTATTTCTATTTTCTACCTGCTGACAGGAACTGTCCACCGCAAGTATTTTAGCCCAGAGAAACACAAGCAGAGGGCGCAACTCTCTGGATAAAAAAAATTCATTTCCGAAAAATCCATTATCTATCCATGAATCCATGTATTCTGCAAAAACACAAATCGAATGAAGAAATATGTAATCAAATGTTAAAAAAATTCTGAAAACATAAATCAATTTATGGCATAAGGAATAACATAATTCGAAATAGACAATCGAAACTTTCAATCGTATGTAAAAACATCTGAAAATATTCCAAATTAAACATAAATCTATTCATGGAAAAAAGAATAAATTTTTTCGTAATGACGACAATCGAAATTCTCGATCATAATTTAAAAACATTTGAAAGAAGTGTTCTTTTCTTTTTCAAAAAATTTGTTTATTTAACCAACCTTGCATTTGCCTGGAGTAGTTTAAGAACATAAGGATATATCCCTACTGAGAGAACAAGATTTACTGCCCATGGACCAAGATCCAAAAATCTTCCTAGCAATTCTAGGGCCCGGAGTCTGTGCGCTTGTGACAACAAAACCTGTTTATAAAGGTTTAATTGTTTGATTTGAATATATATATTTTTTTAACAGAGAGAATGTTAAGAATGTTATAATTTTAAGAAACACTTAAAATCGAGTTCCACCTTCAGAATAAAAAACCTCTGATAGCATTTCAGAATTTGTTTATTTTATATTTTACAAATGAGAACAACCCCTTTAAAAATAATCTTTTTGGAGGGAAATTCCTTGGGACAATAAGGTAAATAAATAAAATCCCATAGAAGTGCCAAGGCATAAAATGAAAAGTCTGGAACCTGAAGGACGATTGGAAGTTGCTCCGGGGGAGCTCTATCCTCGGAACCTTGAGCTAACCAAACCTCGAATGCAGTCAGCTGCTCCTCGAAGAATGTGCTAGGTGAGTAAGGTTTGTCATGCAGGAGAATTCCCTGGAAAAAAAAATTTCTATTTACTTAAACCAATTTTTAAATTAACAAAAAACCGTTTTTTTTCAACGATATGTATCAATGATAAAACATATGCTCAAGAAATAAACATGAATAACAATAGGTTCCAATAAAAGAATAATACAATAGAAGTTAATAAAGGGAAATTCTTGATTTTTCAGGGATAACGTAAAGCTGTAAATAAGTGTAGATAACATGAATCTCCAAAAACCTAGTGTTAATCCATGCTGATTGCTAAACTATTTACCTGAAGCTGGGAGAGACACATATCTACTGCTAGATCCCAGGCCTCCCACATAGGATGCTGGTAGGTGTAGGGTAGAGGAGGTTGGGAGACAGGGGTACAATCACACGATCTCATTATCCTCTCAGAAAGCAGAAAATTCCTAGCGGAAAAAAAATTGTATTTTTTACGAACTAATGTAAAATAATTTAGGATCTTGCCTCCATCCAAAGGCAAACAAATCACCTGTCCTATACCATAATTAGCCAGGCGTTTAGTATTGATATGGATTTGTTTAATGAAATCGTCTAGAACACACAACTAGAAATTGTTGAAAATTGAATAAAAAATTCAATATTTCTTTTCAACTTTTATGGCACTCAATTTCTATCCTTTAATGTTTTAACTATCCCAATGAGAGAAGAAATAAGGAGAAAAGGGATAGTTGATATTTTACGATTACGTATTAGGACAACTCAGGAGGTCCGGAGAAATAATTGTTTTCTGAATGTTGTTCGTTCAAAAACAATTGTTCCAGGGCTGTCCTTAGTTCTTTTACTCCCTGCTCCTTGCTTTCTTATATCTATATAATAAAACAAGACATTCGTATATATGTTGCGTATAGCCGGCTAAACGGCTGGACCGATTGGGCTGAATTTTTTTGTGGACACTCAGGGTTGGCCAGGGGGTGTAATCGGCTAAAAAAATAGAATTTTTTCTTCTCATTTTTTGTCCTAACATATTTTTTCCCCACGGTCAAGGCCAGGCCCTTTAGCTAGTCTTTGATAAGTTTTAACCTGAAAAGACTGGCAACTAGAAGATCTTGACGGAATAGTTTCTGAAAGGTTTCTCTGGGTAAAGTATTCCAAGCTATTGTATCAGTTATAGCTGTAAAAATCCAGTTTAGTTCTCCGAGCATAGTTCTCCGATCCCCAAACTGTCCGGGGATCTTCTCCAGATCATCCAAACTAACCTAAACAATTGATTTTCAAGAGTCATTAGGAGTTTTGCTTCGTCAAAGAAATGAGTAGAACTTCAATGAGCTGGATTCGGATCCATTTTTTATCCGCAATAAGATGGAACGGATCCTTAGCGTCGATATGAAGAAAAACAGGGATTTGATGGCCGTGGGGTCGTTAATTATTCCCAATTATGATAAATTCTATCAATATCATATCTGAAAAAAACTAGACAAAAACGAAGAAAAAAGGAGGGGGGGGGGAAATTTTGAAAATGATACTTACTTTTGGGCCTAAATGCCCTTTTTCATTCTTCATAACGAACCATCTGAAGAAAATGTAAAATAAAATTATTTTGTATTTACACAAGGGTAACAGGGATGACTGTTAAACATCCGGAGGGGGAAAATATTAAAATATGGATATCAAAATGCAAGTTTTTCTGGGGGGAAAATTGTTATCGAAAGGGGGAATGATTTTTTAAGAAAATATACAACAACCCTGTTTTAACAGGAGAATATAAATTTTTTTTATGAAAAAAATGTATTAATAATTATCTAATTTTATTTTACATTCCTAAGTGCAACTTTAATAGGTGTAGTAAGGCAAGATGTGAATAGATCAGCTGGTAGGTCAGGGGACATAGGTAGTAGCTGGTCAGCTGAGCAGGCAGCTAGCTGAATACAGTTCCTAAATACAGTTGAAAAGGTTAGTTACATAGGTAGGAGGTGGTCAGCTTCACAGGCAGCTAGCTGAATACGGTTCCTAGATACAGTTGGCTAGGTTAATCATAAAGGTAAAAGCTGGTCAGCCGAACAAGCAGCTAGCTGTATAAAGTTCCTAGATACAGTTGGTAGGGTTAGTCATAAAGGTAGGAGCTGGTCAGCTGAACAGGCGGCTAGCTGAGTACAGTTACAAGATATTGTTTTTTAGGTTAGTCTAATTAGGAGCTGGTCAGCTTAGCAGGCAACTAGCTGAATACAGGTCCAAGTTACAGAGTTCGGTTGGTCATAAAGGTAAAAGCTGGTCAGCTGCGCAATGGGCTGGCAGAATACAGTTCCTAGTAGACAATTTTGTTCTAAAAATTTTCCCCATAGTGAAGGGAAAAGCATTGAAACCAATGTTTGGGAATTTTCTGTCCAAGAATGTCTATGAATACCTGAGTGAGGGTGGATTGGGAATATCTGCACTATTCCCTCCCTGGGAATTAATATTCCTCATCTGTTCAGCATATTCCCGCTCGTGCTGCTCGGCAAAGGTTTTAAAACTTTCAACAATTATTCCAGCATTGTTGCAGTCATATACATATATACTAGGTGTTCCCATCCAAGTCTAAAATGATAATTATTGCAAATAAATGTTTCTTGGTTCAATATTATTTTCTTTTAGAAACATACCTGAAGCTCAAAGATGGAAAGAGGAATATATTGAGTGAAGGAACGATTGAAAACCCAGATTTCTCCGTTAGTTGTCGGCTTAGGAACCTACATATGTAATTTCATTATCATGTGTTTAAGGTCTAGAATTAGAATTACTTACCCCGTGGCCGTTATAATGAAATAGAACTCGTTCGTCTCTCGCAGATCGACGAAGATTATTCGTGAGTCTCTTCACCTCGTCATAGGTAGGATCAAGACTTAGACGATATCTAGCTTTAGGTTGCCATCGTTCATATTGCCGCTGGAGATTAGTTCCTATCGTCTCCACCGCCTTCTGAGGGTTCAATGACATTGGATCTATCCAGCACTCCTTCCTGGCGCAGGGTTGGGTTTTCATTACATCCGGGGGATCAACCCCTACATTTAGACACACAACCAGAGCTACAGATACAGTTTTCATTCGTTCTTTCATTCTCCAGGTCTGCATTTCCATTTCGTCTCCAGAGATAACCTGAAAACAGAATAAATAGAAGTAATTGGATCTTCAGCTTGAAGCGCCCTCACTAGTTGTAATAATATTAAATTATTCGAAGCTTTCTTTCTAAACCTGAAGATGACGAGGAGAATTGAATGCAAGCGGAATATCCCAGAACTCAGTTTTCTCCTCGGACTCCTCAACCTCCTCTCCGACCTCAGCTCCACCCAGGCTCAGAGAATTCATTGTATCCTCTAGAGCTTTCACAGGCATCAGTCCACCCAACCAACCAGACCTTAAACGATTAACATAAACACATAATTAAAAATACGAAGAATGGGACATGAACCTACCGAAGAGGAGCAAAGATAAACTAAGAACCTACCGAAGAGGAGCAGAAGGAAGAATCATCCCTCTAGGACTAGGATCGCGAGATCTCGGCATGATTATAAATTGTCTAGGAAAATATGATTATTATCTTTTATATTATTATTATTTGAAAGTGTACTGCAACATTTGTCACTGTAGGATTAGTTCGTCAGAAGTAAATTTGCAACGTAAATACAAGGATCATTTATAATTAATTAAATTATGTCGAAACAAAAAAAGGGAGTTTAAATTTAGGTTAGGTAGTACTAGAAAATCGACAGTCAGAACATGCGTCATTGACTAGCATATGTACTTGTGAAAACAATTCGTACGACAAAAATAGCTCTTTTATAAAAGTTCCATATTTATACACCAAACAAAGGAGTACGCGTTTGATAAAACTTTGCTGTAAGAATATTGGTAAATTCTTTGAGAACGAGTTTTAGAACCATCCCCCCCTTTCCTAACAATTTTGTACATGGATCTTATATGTTAGACATGGATATAATTGACCATATGGCTACAGCGCTCGGCCCTCTAGCCTGTCCTAGCCGCAGGGCTCAGCCCAGAAAGAGTCTTACCTAACCTAACCCTGAATAATAATGAATAAATACTAATCAGAAATTGTTCTCTGGGAATATACCATCATAGCTAAAATTAAAGCAACATCATCGAAAAATTACCTAACTACGCTGTAACAACGTCGTGCATAGCTTCAATCTTCAATGTAGAACTAAGGTAGGTACTGTCATCGGGACATGTTCAGTCAACAGTAAACAATTTGTTGTTTATTACATGAAGAGCTTGCTAAAAATTCTGAAACATAATAATCATAAATTATGTAAAATGATTATTTCAATCAATTAACAGTCACGTGACATCACAAAATTTTTATACTTCAGAAATATCTGAAAACCTAAGGTTCTCAGAAACATTAATCAGTAAAAAGAAAGATTATCATATGCACAAAATTTCGGTCTCAACTTCGCAATGTGTTTGTACTTTGAACCTACGGAGTTCATTTAGGATTCCGCGTCGAATTCTTCCTGAGAATTGTTTCTAGTCTGATTTTTTTTACATCGTCTTCATTTTTTATTTTTTATTTGCAAGTAAACTCTTTTCAAAGTCATAAAATACATATTCGAACTAATGATTTAAATAGACGATGATGGTATTTGATGACGAAATCCCAATTCACCTGGGATTACACCTTTATAAAGTGTAAAGAGATAAATAAGTCAATTTGTAATGGTTAAAAAATCAGGTTTTCTTGATTTAGAAACCGGTTTTACCCAATATATGTACAAGCTTGAAACCACTCTAAAATTTAACGTGTAGTTGATACTCGAGACTCGAGATAGACGGACTTTCTTTAGTTGCATACTTAACTGCAAATCTTCGATTGAATTACAATTGATACTATGTTTCGTGATTCGGTCTTTATGTCATTCTCAGCACATACATACTCATAAAAGCAAATCTTTTACGCCATCGCATTTATAAATTCTTTTTATTTTAAGTATGATACATCAAATAGACCCCCCCCCCACCCTCCTAAAATCATAATAAGAAGAAATAATTACTCCTCGTCACTGTTTAATTATTTGTCTATTTGTTGAGTGGACAATTTTTGTTAAAAAAAATTCATATGCTTAATCTTATTTAGATTTATATAGTTAAGAATGGAGGAACAACTGGAATCGTGTCCTTACAACCCTGCCCATACTATCAGAAGGGTAGGTTCATACATTAACATCCGCTCATTTTTCTACGTTCTTTATTCTTTGTAGATAATAATTAAATAATAAATAAGTTTTCAATGAAATTTTTTTTCCAGTCGAAGCTGCAATATCACATTGTGAAGTGCAGGTAATAAGTTTAAAGATTATCTACTCCTTTTCCCCTTCCCCCATTCTTCTCTTAAAGTATAGAGCATATTAATTTCCAAGAGAACAATTACCAAACAAAGGAGNGTCTGACAGGAAGTTTCTTAACTTATCCTAACCCGTGGCTGCAGCGCTCGGCCCCCTGGTATAAGCCTAGAGAACGATTTTTGGACCCCCTCTCCAGGCCCCCCCTTCCCATCAATTTTGTACGTGGATCTAACAGAAAGTGTCTTAACTTATCCTAACCCGTGGCCGCAGCGCTCGGCCCAGAAAGTGTTTTAACCTAACCTAACCCTAAATATTACTAAATAAATACTAATTTGGTCATGTACTAAATTGATAGGAAGGGAGGGGGGTCCAAAAATCGTTCACCAGGACAGACCCGGCCCCCTAGCCGCAGCGCTCGGCCCAGAAAGTGTCTGAACCTAACCCTAAATAATACTAATTAAATACCAATTTGGTCATGTACAAAATTGATAGGAGGGGGCGGGGTCCAAAAATCGTTCACTAGGACAGACCTATTTAACCCCCTCGTCCCGGCCCCCTCACCCCTCCCCTACTATCAATTTTGTACATGGATATTAAATGTATCACATGTATATTATTGGTCATGTGGCCGCAGCACTCGGCTCCTTAGCCTGTCCTAGCCGCAGCGCTCGGCCCGGAAAGTGTCTTAATCTAACCATAAATAAATATTAATTTTGTTCAAAATTGTTGGATAAGTGGTCTTGTACAAAATTGATTCGAGGGGGGAGGGGGTCCAAAAATTGTAAACTAGGACGGACCCTAGAAATGATATGTTAAGTTCGTATTTAAACATAAATTTTTTTTCTTAGGGGTGTATTCAAGAATTTGTCCAGGGCTTNGGGGGGTCAGCATCCGTTGTTGCCACTAAAATAAACCTGAACCACTCTGAATACGCTTCTGATATTTTCTCTCCGGGTTTTTACTTAATATTTTTCAATATTTTTGTTGAATATTCTTAAAAATCTAGGTCATGTACAAAGTTAATCGCACTTAGGACCATGAAATTTATTTATCGTTCTTACCCCCCATCTCACTCTTGCTGTCTAATCTTGTTTACATCAGATGTAATAATACTTTTCTTTTTCAGTCGTTCATTCCCAGGAAAATGCTCGTTTTTTTATTAATTGAACATTTTTTACAGATCTATGCTTAAAAAATCATCATTTTAGTTTCACTTTCATATTTATGAAAAAGTAATCTTAAATTAATTACAATCGGTGCCTCTTCCACACAATATTTCATTAGCTGTCAAAATCTATTTTTTCCGTTCATTCTTAGATCTTCACCTTAGTCAATGGCCTAAGAATTTAAATTTACTCAGCAAATGTTGTCATTCCATTATTATACAATATAGATATGCAAATTAATTTTTTTAAATATCCATATTCATTACAAACATTTATGCTTGCAGGCTGTAAAAACAATTTTTATTACATATTTTGCAAAATATTATATTATAATTATCTCTGTTGGCTTTCTGTAATAATTGGAGGAATAAAAACGGTATTTTAGCCGGACATCTCGCTACTTGCGAGTACAATGCTACTCATCTGTTTAAGAAAGAGCAGATGGAGGTAAAAGTATGATATGTAGTGCAGGGGACATTACTTCCATTTTGCCCATTTCTAACACTGAATGTTAGAAATGGGCCAAGTTTGCAAATCTTTCTCAGGAGTACATATCTTAAATTTAAATACAAAAGGAGTTGAACAAAACTACACCTTTATTAAAAAAGTATTACTCCATAATGTCTATTAGAATGTGTGGTCATACCCCTTTTTCTAACTATACAACAGCCAGTGCTAGAATCTTTTTTATGCGGATCCTATAAAAAAATATTTCCAGGAAGCCAAAATGTTTGGGATCCGGATCCAAA